TGAAAAATGAGTCATTGCACAGCCATAGCTGCAGGAAAAAGTAGGAGAGGGATTCAACATTAGTTTTTCTGTGTATATGTGCACAACTCTAAATGGGAAAGAAAGGTAAATAGCTATTATTTCTGTAACGTATTGAATTTTTACTGCCACAAACCATCTTCATACCATGCTTTCAGGTGAAAAGTCGTTGAAACATTTTGGTCGGCCATCTAAAACAAAATTACAAAATACCTTGAAAGCTGTACATGCATGCTTAAACATCCTATTCTAAAAATAAAAATCTGCTGATAGGTAAGAGCTGCTCTCTTGGTTTCTAGAGAGTTTATCCTCTCTTTCTTCCCCAGGAGAGTTTTAAACAAGTTCAGATGAAAAGGAGTAGAGAAGCACTGGAGAAAAGAGGTGTTGCTAGTTTCTTATGTAAACAAACAATTTTATTGAGTGACTTTCAATAAGCCAGCTGCTAAACATTTGCTCTGTATCATCATCACTTGCAAAGTGCTGAGATTTGGCTCCATAAGCAGGTTTTTTTAAAAAATGAGAAAGATTATGAAAAAGAATGCTATGAAGCATTTAACTGTGAATAGTGTGGACGTATTCCTTGACGATTCAATTTTCAATTGCAACATCTGCACCTCTAGAGGTAACGTTTCATTTCTCCTAACATCACTTTATAAAACTTGTTTCCTTCAATTATACTTCAGAATAGATGAGTAAAAAACTCAGGAAAGCTATATTTCAGTAGCATAATGAAAATATTAATTTACGTATGAGAGACGCAAACCAAGAAGCACTAAATTAGATCCTATAATTATTTCCAGTATGTGAGAATCATCACAACGTTATCCTGAGAAACCAGCAGCAGGAAGGTCTGCATTTTCATGCAGGTGACAGATGTGAGGACTTAATCTCTTATATATGTTTATAATTTATTCTAAAAAGTCCCATTTTGAGACAGACAGACTTAATACAACCCACAGAGTCACAGAGGTATTATGGACTCCAGAATGGAAGGGAGCTGAAGACATTAACACTGAGGCATCTAAATAGATGCTGTATTCACACAACTCACATTACGAAAAAAAAAAAAAAAAGCCATTTGTTAGGTTTTTAGGAAAAGGTCCTCCACCTGCAATACTACTGTTGGGAACATTACTCAAGTGCAGATCAGCTAAGTGCTCCAGAGATGATCACTGAAATAGAAAGAGTAAAAATGGTCAAAGAGACAGGGTGACAGCCTTTAACATATATGTCCTAGCCTCATTTTGAAATCACTTCAAGGCTGTGCCTATTTCCATTTTCCTAAATTGCCATAGGTCTCTGAGCTTCAACATTTGCATTCTTCAGTTAAATGGGAAATTGAAATTATGAAGTAATCAGATATTTAAATATCAGAAGAGGGAAAACAAATATTTTTAATAAATTGGTGTCCAGATTTCACAGACAAGATACTATAGATCATTTTAAAATCTACCCTGGGTAAATGTTGTGTGTCAGCAAAATCTTTTCTTTCTCTTCCATGTAATTTCTTTAGCAAAAAGTGAATATAGATTCTGTTGTATTCAACTCAGTATGGAGTGTGGCAAATTGTAATATAACTATACCTCTTTAATTCTTACTCCTCTACTTAAAATAAAAGATAAGAACCACAGAGATTTAGCCTATTCGTACCCCACTCTCATGACATATTTTATGCAACCAAAGTAAAGGGATTAGAGGAACAACTTTTCCCACTGAGTAATTACACAGAAGCTTTCTACGTTGTTATTATAAAAATACAGTTTAAATGCTTTTCTTGAAAAAGTAAGAAAATCCTTGGAGCACTTCTTAGAGTCACTTTTGCTACGAGGCAATGCCTGTGATGTGCATTGCTAAACTAAATATAAAATTTCTATCTAAAAGTCACCACCAATAATCATGACTATTAGAGCAATTCTTTTGCAAAAAAATTGTTTTTGACAAAGATTTCTGCCATGAATATCATAAAAAAATAACACCTTCCATAAACTGTGTAAGCTCCTTCAGTATTAAAACTCTGGCAGCATTATTTTTTCAAAGTGAATGATACCTGTAGAAATACGGATTTTACTCTTTCGCAAAACGCCTCAAATCACTTTCATTGTGCATCCATATGGATGTGCTTGAAACTGCAAAAGAACTCTTTGCTGTCACACCACTGAAAAAATAAAAGTAATAATAATAAAATCACTAAAATGCTTACCACTTCCCTTTGTTTGCAGCTGACTAGCTACTCAAGATATAATCCTGTGGCCATTTCAGAATCAAAGTGCATTCAGATCAAAGTAGTTCATGAGGTATCACTGATGTACCTACTGGATTCTGAGTTGCAATTCCACAAGGCATCATTTCTATTGAAGACAGTGAACTATATTTTCACCCACCTCAAGGAAGACAAGGCTGTTTTCTAAAGATTTACTGTGTCTGCTTTAGCCTGTAATTACTTAATTTGATTCTGCAAATAGTCTAAGAAATTTAGGAAAACAAAGAATTTTCACATAAAACATTAGATCTTCGAAATCATTTTAATAGCAAGAGATTTTTAAATCAACTAATTTTTGCAGCAATGTAAAGAAACCTTAACGAACACAACCATTTTTTCTGATAAAGTTATTACTGCTTACTATATTACTTACACACACATTATATATAAATGCATACATACAGTATCTTTACGTTGTTCAAATATAGAATTACAGAATGGTTTGGACTGGAAGGGCCCATAAACATCATTTCATTCCAACCCCCTGCCATGGGCAGAGACACCATCCAAAGGTCAGGTTGCCCAAAGTCCCATCCAACCTGAACGCTTCTAGGGATGGGGCATATGCTGGCACCAAACTAAAGGTTTGTTTTCTGGAAAGTCAGCCTTGCAGGATTAGCAAGTTCTTCTGTACCAGACTCACAGTGAGTCTCTTCATAACATTCATGTGCACTGATATTACTGATAAAGTAGCGAATCTTCTACAACATATAATAAGCCATTTGCATCTCCAATTAGCATGTTCTGTAGCCTTTATTTGAAAAGAAAATGAAAGGAGATGACGAGACCATCAGGAACAGTACTACTTCTCATGCCAAAAATACCTTCTTGTCAACTAGTTTTAGTGATTCGGTTTCAACAGGACAGCAGCCTCTGCATAGCCTTCACAGGAGCTAACAAAGCAGAGGTTTTCTACCAGAGTCGAAATCTGAAAGAACTGGTTAGAAGAATATCTGTTGGGCTTATACTATGGCACTATACCAGCCAGTAAAATGTTTTTAATCTCTAGGAGCCCAGATCAGCCCTGATGATTCTTCCAACATCTGACTCCATCCAGACAAAAACAAAGCTCATTTTAATTTCTGTTCCATTAAAAAAAAAAAAAAAAATTACTTAATAGCATTACTAATTCCATTAGTAACCTTAAAATTAACCCTAAATCACTTCTGGAAGACAACCAAAATGACAGTAATACAGATTCGCTACTGAAGAGTAAACTATCTCCACAGTTAAAATGCTTACCCAAAGGCTGACCCATCCTCAGGTTCAGGCCAAGAACTCGTTAATAAAAGCAAAAGGTTAGGACTGGCCTCTGCCAACATGCTCTGAACTTTGTGAGCCCTGAAATATCACCAGAAAACTGGGTTCTTGAAACTTCAGTCTTTCACATCCTTACTGTAACCCAAACATTAAACCTAAGCTAATTACAGTTAAGGAATATCTGAAATACATTACGACCTCCTCAGGTATCTACAGAGCTTCTCAACACAGTGCTGTTAACTAAAAATTAGCTTCAAAATCTCCAACCCACTAACCCACTTACTTTACTTGCCTGAAGGGAAGCACTACCATGTTTACTCTGCAACAGGAGCACCCACACAGGGAATAAGTTCTGAGCAGTCAGTGGCCTGAAAATTCAGACTTATTATATTAAACATACACGTACTTCAAAATGACACGTTATTTGTAAGCCATGGAAGATAATTAATGCAACTACGTTATCAATGAGTCTGATGTTTCAATATTAAAGACATGTTTAGTTAATAAACAATAAAATCTCTCAACTTATAAAAAGACAAATAGCGTGAAGAATTTGAAGATTAAGTGCTGAAGTTTTTATTAATGTCTGTAGGGACTTAAAATAGCCTTTGTTGATAAGTACTTATGAGATTATAGAAATAAAGGAAAACAAACTGCAGCCCAGTGACCTGTATTGAATAAAAGTATCTTCACAATGCCTCTATCAGCTTACATAGAGATATAATATTTAACTATGTAGTTTTCATACACAAATTCTGTTATGTCTCAGAATAACCTGTTTTTCTTAGAAATAATTTCCATAACTTTTAATTCAAACTGGATAAGCATATGGAAATATTTTACTTAATCAAAAAAGGAAGAACAAGGAATAACAAGAGAATCTTGTCATGTGTGCATCTGCTGTATGTAGACCACACCTCTGCTCAGAAAATATCAAACTTTTTCTATCCTGATTAGTTCTGTGATGTACAATGGTCAGCAAAAAAGCTGTTCAGTACAAGTTCAGTCCTGAAAAGTGTCTTCTGTTTGCAGTAGACCATCTCTCTGAACCCTGGCTACATTTGTAAAACAACAACTTACACCAAAATGTGAGGTATCAAAGAATAGAAAATACATATTAAAGTTGTGATTCAAATATCTATAAATTACATTACTAAACCAAGTTCAAATATAATTTCCAAGATTAAAATCAATATTGAAGTTTTTCGTAACAGACTTGCCTCTCTCGTGGCTTCTCCTAAATCATAAATACGTACCTTAAGTACTGAACAGGAGATTGCACAGAATACAACAAAAACAGACCACTACATTAGAGCCTAATGCAATAAACACATTTTCAAATGTATTCCTTCCAAAATAGACCAAAACAATCTTTGGTTTGGATTCTTTGCCTATTAAGTCTATCTAATAAATGTGACTAAAAATTTACAAGTGTTTCAACAATTATTCCATATTCACTTACTTCAAAGTCTCTTGCAGCTTGTGAATTTTTTTTTGAGCATCCCCCCTTTCTTTATCAAGATCATTCCGGATACCATGAATCTACCATTTGAAGGAAAAAATATCATATTTTAGGTAAAGCAAAGCCTGATAAAATGTTATTTTAAATTTTAAACTTTATTTTACATATTTCTTTTGCACTGATATAGATAACTGTCAATATATTTCTAAAATAACATAAAGTGACTAGTATTAACAGAGAGGTATGAGAGTTATTTTGTGTGATCCTGAACATTTGTACAAAAACTATAACCAGATAAAGCACAAGGTTCAGACCTCTGATGAAAAAGCAAATCTCATTTTGCTACTGTAAACAACTCTATGTATGTGTTTACTATGTGGAAACCTGAAGTGTTAGCCTGTTTCAAAAAACGTAGGTATTGGCAGGCTGTGCATCAGAGAATAAAGAATGTTTTACCAATCCTGACAAAGTTATATATATATGTAACAGCTGGCTCAAGGATAGTTCTCAGTAATAATCTGTCACCCTTCTTATGCTGAGCTGAATGTTTGCAAAACAAGCAGTAGATTATTTATAAAAAGCAGGTGTTTCCTTTGCTTGTAAAACCATTTAGCCTAACTGGTTCCTGATTCAGCAGATAAGCACATTTAATCAAACAGTGACATTTAGGGTTACTACCTATTATTTGTTTGATGTTTAAATATCCTAGCAGGCAATAGCCACTGTAGACCAATAAAGATTATTAGATAATGTGTAGGTACTTAAGTGAACAGATTGCATCAGGGACTTCATGATTCCCCTACTTGAAGGCAAGCTTGGTTTTAGTATTTTATGGGCCAATCTATATAATTTTATGGATTTGTATCAACAGACTGTTCATGTGTATTTCTTCCCCTCATCCTTTCTTGATTTTTTTTTTTTAATTTCCAAAGCATAATGTTGCATCAGAATTTCTGAGTATGCAAACTGCTATAAAATTATTTATTAAAAAGAGAGTTTCTTGTTTACTGATGCACAGTATCCCAACTACAGTAAGCTTTATCTTATCTATAATATAAATCAAATAATGTGGTTCTGCAAGAATGGCAACACCTATTTTTAACCTGAGCTTGAAATGACATCTTGAAATATCAGAGAAATTAAAGTTTGCAACTTGTCAACGCTGTAAGAAAATGATTTCAACTAGATGTACTGCTACTACCAAATGGCTGATATAAGAAACATGAACATATATGTTGACTTTATCTTGCACCAAGCTTAACAGTGCAGATGCAAGCCATTCAGGGGCATTTGGACTTGGTACCTTTGAACATCATCAGCCACATCTGATCTGTATGGATCTGATCTGGAAGGAAGTGATTTATTGCAATAAACCAACATCCACTGTACTTCAGCAGTCAGAAGTTATCCAAGTCATGCTAACATAATTTTATTTCTATCAGAAATATTATTTCAATCCTAGGCCTTTCTTGAGGCCAACATTCACAAAAACCATGACTTGGTCTAAAAAGACAAACGAAGGCTAGGATTACAGCAAAACATATCTTGGAACAAAAAAGAATTTAATTCAAGTCAGCAGGAGGCACTAATTCAAACCAAAAATCTCACTACAGTTCATGTAGCAAATGCTATTATTAAGCGACAGGTCGCTATGATCACAATTCATTATTTTATGTTACATATTTGCCACATTTTGAAATGATGTTTGAATAACACATCCTTTCCAGTAAACAGTCGTCTAACACACTCTCTTACTAAACACTGCATGAGTTGAATACATAACGTCACTAAAAATGAAGTTTAACTTGAAACCTATTGATGTTTAAAGTCTGAAAGAGTAGATAGCATTTGCAAAGTGCTTAGGATGAAGTGTTTTTGAGAACTACACTTTCTAATTTAAGTTTCTCATGTAAAAACAATGCATATTGACAATATATAGAAACCACATTCAAACCACGTAGCCATACAGAATAAAGATACATTGGGAAAAAAGTACAGAAGAACATGTGAAGACTGACAACAGGTCAGGCAAAGTTCAACTTAGTTCATTGTTTTTTCCTCTAACAGCAGTTAGCATCAGATACCAACAAAAGAAGACCTTACAAATAGGACAGGCATACAGCAGTACTTTGGTAATGCTCTCCCAGCCTGCATAACTTGAGGTGATATATCAGCAATTAAATGGCTGCACTTAAATCTTCCTCAAATTTGTCTAATTATTTTTCTAACTCGTGCAATGCTTGGACTGCACTACCCTATATAAAAGACCTCCACAAATTCTGTAGAGATTGATTGAAAAAGTTCATTTTGAAACTGCCACCTGCTAATTTTGGTTAAGGCTTCCTGCTTCTCACACTGAGAAACAACAAACAAGCCACCCATCTCCAGAATCTGTCACTACCAGTTCTTCGTTTAAACAATAGCTAAGGCGGCCTCAAAATAATGAAAGAAATACAGTGCACTGAAATACGGAGCACAGAAAGCACTGCACCCTCTTAGCTGGAGTGAATTCCTCTCAGAGGGAGTTAAAGAGAATGCATTCCCAATTCAAAACACTGGTGCTATACTTGTGTGAAATATTTTACACCTTTATCCCCATTTGAGATAAGATTATTTTTCAGACTGGGTTTTAATTTTTTGCATGTCCTTGTTCTACAAAAAAAAATAATAAAAATATGTTGGGGGATGACTTTGGAGTTTAAACCTTTACCTGTTGCATACAGCAGTCTTAAAAATGTGCATAAGACAGTATATTTTCCTGAAAATATTACCTGCTTTTCATATACACGCTCCAAGTGAAGTTTGTCCTGTTGAAGTTTATAGTCTTGATCCTGCAAATGAAGGGGTATTTCTGAATAGACAAATCACGTCTTTTATTTTAAAGCAGTCATTATCAGTCACATCCATATTTGTACTTTATAACATCATCACTAAATACTTTCAAATTGACATTTAGCTGTTATTTTCAATTATGGAAAACACACCACTTTATTTAGTGCTTCATTAGCTTATAAAGGGCATCTAAAAAGATGTAAAGTTACAGGACTTCGTTCCTTGTTCATAAATCCAAGATGTGAGCAACACTCTTAGGTTTTACTCAGAGAAAAATCTTTGACAAAAAAAAAATCCAACCAACAGCAAAAAATACCCCACAAAACCACCTCTAAAGTCATGGTTCGAGCTTTGGAAGAGAAAAAACAACTTGCTTTCCTGAGCTATTAAAATGCTATTCTGTACTACATCAACTCTGAAATGAAAGACATCAGAGGAAAAGTAGATGCCAAAACATGAACAGGCTTGATATGTTATACAGACGTGGAACTCATTATCCTGAGATAATGAAAATTGAACTAAATTGTTAAAAAGCAGAAAAAAAATTGAATCTTAAAAATGTATGCTGATTAGAAAAAAGTATTTGTAATTTTGATGTTTCTCTTTAATACAGGTTTACACTGTTAAATTCATATTAAAACATATGAATTAAGACAAATAGTCAAAAAGTTCCTGTAAAAATTCTGCTCTTACCCATAAAATGATCCAGTCTACTACTACTTTTTAATCAACCTTAAAGCATAAGGTGACACACCCTATATATTTCTAGGAATAATATACAATATGCATCCTCATGTATTTAAGTGTATTTTACTATGGCTATCTAAAATTTCAGATCTCTGAGAGAAGTACAAAGAACTGGTCATTCCTGAGTGAAAAGTTCAGGGCTCACCCTCAGCTGTTGCTGTCTTTGATGTTCTGAATCTTGTAACTGTTGTTTTAATATACACACACCATGCTGCAACTCTTCAATCATATCAGATGCCTGTAAAGTTTTAACAGAAAGCATCTTTGTGTTATTAGCTCTGTAAGATGCACGTTTTGCCTTTTTATATTCACTTCTCAAAGGTGACTAAAAATTGGAAAATTATTAACCTAGGAAAAAAATGAGTTTGTAACTCCAAATACTTTACATCAGCCCCTATAAAAGTACCACCTGTATATGCACATAGACACCCACCCACCAAAATTACTAGTTAGCTTCAGATACTTTTTTCAGTCAAATTTGGGAATGAAAAATTATGTTAGTTTTTTCGCATTTTTATTTTTAAACTTATGCACATGAATAACTTATGCAACTGAACATTTTCTGGGATTTATTCATATGCATTACATTTATATTGAGGAGACCACTTCTAAAATAAACATTTTAATTCCTGTTATAGATGGAAGCATACCTTAGCTGCTGAGAGAGCATGCTCCTGTTTTATAAAATTTATATCAACATCATATTTACTTTGTAGTTGCTGAATGTTCTCCTCATATTCCTGTACAATACGGTCCTTGTCTTTCTGAAGTGAGCTGTGCCTGTAAGTAGTAAGCAAACAAAATATGGAAATTGCTTTCATATTTTGGCATTTTACCTGCTCACCTTCTATTTTACAGAGTTTACAAATCTGACCGTATCACGTGTTCGTTGTAACAGAATTAAATACTTACAAATAATGGAAAGATAATTTACTTATAATGGTCATTTGAGTCAGTTCCAAAATGAGTTTTGCATCAATTAATACATTTTTATGAAAATTCTCTAGAGCAAATTACCATTTACTGAGTTCTTGAGTGAAAACAATTAATGTTTGAAGAACATGGAATTTCCAAAAGCAATGTTAAAAACAGTAACCTCTATTTAATTACCTTGCTTTCACTTCCTGAAGTTCAGAGCATACCACCTGGTAACGTTGTTCTGCTTCAGTCTTTTCTTGAGATAATCTTTGACGCTGCAAATTACTGTTTTCAGCCTCAACAGTCAACTGCTGCACACGAGCCTCGAGACTTTTGACCGTCTGGTTCTAAAGAAATAAATCATTGTTAAAAAACACCACAATAAATTAGTGTATACCCCTGTTGTTATCCAGTAGTCTAGAGCAGCAAGGTTCTTTGGTGGTCCAGAAACACAAGAGTTACAATGGCAAAGCTGTCAATCATGACAGTAAGCTATATAGGAAACATAGTAGGCTGCACAGCATCCAGTTAAATCTGTAGGTTTCTCATGCCAAAATATTCTATCAAGTACTTTTACCATCATCATACATATTTTTATCTGTAAGCATATCAAATTTCTAAACTAAAATGCAGAGCAATGCAGTTAGGTTGTTAAATTATAGATTTTAAACAACCGTTTTAAGTGTACACTTTGGGAAAACCACATCCAAGGATGTAAACCATAAGATACAGCAATATATGGTATGGACACAATACAAGAGAATGATTATAATACGAATGCTACATTAACAGTGAAAATTCTGTTTAGTTGTCTTTCAAATCAACTAACAAATATTAACTAAAAAAATTCACCAATCTCATAAGGTATGTACATCATCTCCATTTTATTACTGGAAAAGGGAAGACACACCGGGAAGGAAAGCATGTGCAGGAATATAGCAAATACATATCAGGACTGAGACCACATTCCTCAAGGCTCTGCTGAAACACATTTCCCTAACCCACTTCTCCATATTATATGTTTAATTACAGTGATTTTCTTCCAATATATTACAAATATTCCCACCCGCCAAAAAACTATTTTACTCCTAATATAAACAATCTTGAAAATGAGCAGAAATAGGAGAGGCAGGTAGCACGAGACTACTGTTTCCCACTCTTCCCTAAATTTATGTTAATATGCACGGAAATGACTGAAGTATTCCTCAGGAGGTTAGAGTCAAAAAATAAGACACAGCTGTCCTTCCAGGATGTACATATCATTGTTATTTTTATATTAACAAAGGTCTGAACATGAGGGAAGTGGAAAAGTATTCTCACCGTCTGTCAAGTAAAAGAAAAACCTCAAACATCTGCCCTGTCAAGTGAATGCCCCAACTGCCATATAATTTTAAATGAGCCTGTAAAGCAAGAACCTCATACAGTTGGAATGGTTACCCGAACTTTGGCCAGTCACTTAAGCTATTTTACGAACATAACAGAGCAAATTTTTCCATCAAAGTCAGCTGCATAGCATGTTTTGTTGTTGTTGTTGTTTTGTTTCTAAACAGTCATGTACGTATCATTTTGCCAAATATCACAGTTCCTCCCTGTGATCCCAGCCCTCAGGAATAGTTCAATGCCCAAAATCCTACTTATGAGTTCTATAGCATTAAATTGTTCAGCCAATTTCACTTGCTAACAGCAATGGCATTCTTGACAATATGAAACTCTGAACAAGAAAACTCTGAAATACAGGAAAAAAACACAACACAACCAAGAAAGAAAGAGAAAGAAAAAAAAGAAAACTAATTTCCAGTGACAGTCTAGTCTTTCATCTTAAGCCCTGCCTTGAACTGAACCTTGTTTAATTATTAAATCAGAAGCTGCTCAGCAAGATCTGTCTAGTTTTGATGGTTCTTAAATTCAATCTTGCTGACAGACTGTGTCCATTTTTCTTTGTATTTACTGTTACCTATGACATGATCTGAATGTTAATTTTTAACTTCAACATTCATTAATAAAGGAATAACTTTATTTGACATTGTCCTTTCACTCATTCAATTTTCTTCATACATCATACTGATAAAAAAAAAAGGATGCTTTCTTAAGGATACTTGTTAATTTCTTGCTTTTTACACTCTTTACATACTGAATTATTTCATATCTGTCATACTCAGTTCCTCAGATTTTCTCCTTTTTTGCAACACAAACACTTTCATTTGATTTTTCTGCATAATTCTGCAATTGGGGAAGAATTTGTTTCTATTTGTCAAACTGATGGTTGTCACAAGTGAGTTTTTGCATACGAGAACATCACTTGAACACATGCCAAAAATTGGGAATAAAAGTAATGCTAGGACTTCAGGTAAGCATAAGTTAGAGAAACACTAGAAAAGTTATCTGAGAGAGATAAATAGAATTCAAAATTTGCACTTTCAAAAATAGATAGATATTCCTTGGAAAGATTTCAAATCTATGCTCCATGTCAGAAGGAAAAGACCAAGGGCAGAAAAGTATTCACAAAGTAATTGAACAATATGGTTTAGGCTGATGATGCCTTACTACAAATTGTTGTATAATTTACATAATTACAAACCTTGTATGCCTGCACAAGACCCACTTAAAAGGTCTGGTATAAGATTACACTTCCTTAGAGAATAAAGTTGAGGTTGGTGATTAAATCTCCCCACCTATCTTATCACCACCAAGAGACATTTATCTATGACACCGATTATGATTACAATGTATTTTTTAAAGCTAAACAAAGATCAAAAAGATTGAGGCACATGATTAAATAGCATCTCTAGACTATTACAGTGCTCTCAGAGTTTTATAGACAGCTTACAAATTTCCAATTGAAAGAAAATTACACTTTTGCAAAAATAAACAGGAGCTTCAACCAACCCTGTTTCAGTGAGATGAAGCTCAGAAGAAACAGAAAATGAAGTACAGGGACAGAGGCCTTAGCTAAATCCACGTATCAACACCAGGTTTTTCCTCACTAGACCAAAAGCAAGCTTTGGAGGTAAAACTCCTGCACTTGCCATCTACAGTGCTTTAGTTCACACTGCAGAAGTCTCAAAGCAAAAGAACTGGATTCCTTTTGGATACAGCTAAACTGGAAGATGTCAATCAGAAACAGACCTAGTGCCCCTCCAGTCATTAATTACTATTAAATCAATATAAACAGGCTTAAGCTAGCCTGAAAGAGCCTCTGAAGCATGCTGAGCATGGACATAGTCACTTGAAGAGGAGATTTGTAAGTAAGAAATTGCATGTATCTGTAGATGCTACATAAATCTTTTTTTTATAGTTTACAAATCTACAAAGATGGAAATTTTTCTAATTTGACTCAAAAACAGCAAGAAATGCTAGAAGCAGTCCTTCAATACAAATACTTATCTGTATAAAACTCATTGAAGGGCTGCACTTCAATGTTCATTTCCAGTGGCAAAAATCTTTCATTGAACTAGCTGCCCAGTCACTGTCCTTTCCCAAGACAAGATCATTGCATTTCTTAGCCCAACAGTATTCACGTACACTTCTGCACAGATACACAAAATTCAATTGCTTAAAAAGACACGCTTCCTATTGTCACATACTAACAAAAAACTTACTGTTGACTTTATTTGCTCCAGGTAATCTTCCTCCATTTTGCTAAGACGAGCATTGGTGTCCTCCAGTAGTTCCTGCATATCTTCTGTGTGCTTCTTCTGAATATTAAACTTCTCCTTTTCCATTTCAGCTACAGCATTGTGAAGCTGCACCACAAAAATATTATCGAATAGTAACTGGCACATAAAACTAGCATTTATATATTCTATTATCACAGTATACCAACAGAACACCTGACAAGTGCGGGTTACACCTCTATCTTCTATAACACAACCATATAATTGTCTAACTAAAAAAGTCTGTGACTCTATAAAGCAGTTGTTTCATTGTGTTTTTTTTAAACCATTACCATTGTACTTCATACTACCATCTTCTTTAAGATAAATGCTGCTCCAGTTTAACTTTTATAGTTTCATTAGATTATAATTAACATTAGCATTTTGTCTTCTTGTTTGTATTCTATCATCATTGATGACAATTACAGATGATAAACACAATTACTTGCTATGTAACTACCAAAAAGTGTGATCTCAGGCCGAAAATCACACTTCTCTAAAACAAACAAAAAATGCTGAACACTCAAGCTTCTAGGTCTTAAGCACAAAGGACAGGATTTATGATTTCTCTCTTAAAAGAGAAGAATTAAAACCAACATCACTTCCAGATGCAGGGCTGGGAAGAAAGAAAATTAAACCTAAGCAGCATACTTCATCTATGAAGGAAAGCATTCTGCCCCTTTTGTGACCCTCCCTCTCCTGAGAGGGGTAAGCAAGGCAAATACTGACAATAATTTGGGCAAAGGTGAAGCTGTTCTGCAGTAAACATGCTTCTCTATGCTTTGCTGCTGCCTGAAGTCTAACAATAAATAAAAATACCTTGAAGAATTCATGACCCAAAGAGAAAGTAATAGTTCAAAGGAATCACCGTGACAGCAGGTAGCAGGAGGTTTACCAAGATTAAAATTCCATGTCAGGTCAACCAGAAATAAACACTTCCCTATTACCTCCAGCGACTTGCCAGGAGGACCAGATGAAGCCCAGGAACAGCTTCTACAGTGACCAGCTGGGTGGGGGCAAGTGACTATGGGTGTGCAAGAGAGTCAGCAACAACCTTGCAAGATTACTCTAGATACAAATAAAATCAACACAAGAAAATCTCCCTAAAAGTAACATCCTTTCTATTATATTTATGTTTTTGAAACAACAAAATTATTATCCCAGATACACTGTAGGAGTCTTTCAAACAAAGCATTATATTCATTACCCTTTTCTCCCACTCATTGTTCAAAGAATCAGCGCTTTGCTCACACATCTTCTTTAACTCCACAATCTGCTTTTCCTTTGCTTCTCTGATGACTTGTGACTCACGAACAAGGGTCTGAACTGTCAAAAAAAGGGAAAATAAACAACCATTCAAGAGATACCTTTGGGACTTTTCACTGTTGGCAACAGATGCAATCAGATTAGAACAGTTTTCCAATTGACCTGGCTTTCTGATGTTTTTCTGCTGTTAAAAAAAACACTTAATGCATGTGCTTTATAACTTAGCACTTAAATTCTATGTCACTAAAATAGTACAAGGTGTTCTCTATTATATTTAGAAAATATTGCATACTGAGGTTTTCCTTACCCTAGTGGTAAACAAACATCAATAAAATTCCCTGAAACCTCAAGAAAATTGGGATTTTTAAGCTGATTTCATATGCATCCAGAAAATATTTTCATGCAGGTTGAATGACCAAGATATACAAAAAAGTTAATTCCCCAAAACCTCCCCCAACAGAAGCACTGGATTCCATGCAGAACACTTTAACTTAGCAAGGAGCAGGAAACAATATACATGGAACTTTCTTTCTGTACCTAGGCCACCAGGCTTTTGCATTATTTTACATGGTGTTTCCATCTAGAGTATAAATACACTCCAAGGAATTCTAGAAGAAATTAATACTCAAAAACTGCTGACAAGCCACACTCAAATGGGCCAAGTTTTATACGTATGACATACTCAAGACTACTGCTCATGTTTGAAACCTCTTGCCACAATAGTACTAAATAAATAATACATTGTGGTTTGATTAAAATGTACTGAATGTATAAATAAATGAACCTTGAACCAGAGATCCCAGAAGTTTTGAATAAGTGGCCAAAATATTTCAATATCAAAAAAAAATTTTTGGTGACGCTCATGAAAGCGTGTAGGCATTAACCATAAGCACACACTGCCTCTTGGAAAATTTGCTTTGGCAACTATACAACCAGCAAAGACAACCAGGCAAGCCTCTAAAATCTAAAGGAAAAATACAGGAAAGAACTGCAAACGAGGAGGAAAAGTATGCTTGCACCTAGAAGGAACACGCAGGCTTGTGACCACAAGGTTGCAGTACGATATCACCACGTAGAAAAAAAAACAAACAAAGAACCCAACACAACAACCAACAACTGTGAAGATAAAAATCACCTTTTTTCTCCAGTTTCCTAATTGTCTCCTCAGCTTCATTTTGTTTGGTTTTGTAGAGGGACTTCAATACCTCTATTTCATCATTCTTTCTGTCCAAAATCTGTAGCAAAGATTCACAATACTTTAACAAACTTCCAAAAACACAAAGCTACAACCAGTGCACACTGATAACTGTCAACGGAGCTGCCTTCAAGATATCCTTAGATCTTGCAGGCTAAGAAATGAAATATAAATAATTTTCATAGCTAAGACTGCCAAGTCATAAACAAAGGATTGATTTAGATGAAAGCAGGCACTAGGGTATATTAAAAAGGCTTTTCATGTTTTTGGGGGGGTCTTTTTGTTTTCTTTTAAACTTGGGCAAATTCAATGTTGCATTTACAAGACAGAAAATTTAAGCTAGTGCCCTAGAAGAGTCTGGAAGTTTCACAGTTCTACAACTGCAAATAGAAAGGATTTATTTCCCTTTTCATATTTATACTGCCTAGGTATACTTAAAAGCACCTCAATATTTCTTAAACCTGATGAGAATTTAAATCATTAGTGAGCTTCATTACACTTTCTTTGACTTCACTGGTACTATTATTCGTAATAGACCAAGTCCTTGAGGTGTAACTACATTTACATTTCTGTACACATTGATTTTGGAAAAAATGGTTTGAGTATTTGCGTACTTTGAGATACTATATTAATTTAAATTTCAAGTTTAAAATAAACAATCAACTCAGATCTTATAGCAGTGCCCCAAATCTCTCATCAGATGCTTTTATCTTAAAACAATATTACTCCATTTGCATTAAATGTTTTTTTTTTTGTCTTTAAAGATTGATATGACGGTATTTAGCCTTTTCTAAAACATCCAACACTATTAAACGACTTCAGAAGCTGGAATTCTAAGATCACTTAGAAAAGGATGACAACTCAAGGGATGAGAAAGCATTTAAACTATTTCTTATTCCACAAAGCCGTTTCCTTTAGCCTCCCATCTTTGCTAACTGGTTATGCTTGCAGACTTTGAGAACAGATGAGCCAAAAATGCACCTGACCAAATATTAACATCCTTTCAGGAGGCTTTGATGTGTCATAGTGTTGTGTCAACTGACTTCCTCCAAGTCTGTGACTCAGTCTTAAGAAACAAAACTGAGATACTCAGTAATGCTAAGCATACGCTAGGATAAGTCATAGCGATCCCGATCCTGAGCACTGAGCTCCTGTTACACTCCTGGAATCACAGCGCTTCAGAAGGTACTTAGTACCTCACATGATTTGACCCCACACATTCAAAACATAGCATTAAATGTAACAGAAAGGTCTTTGACAGTCTTATTGTAATCTTCCCCAAAGTGGTGTTATGCAACACAATAAAGGCAAACCCAACTTAGCCCAAAAGAAGTGTGTCTGGTGTCATTTTATTGCTGTGAAGGGTTAAAAGCAACGCACAGCTTTAACAATGCAATAGCATAAAAAACCTGTTTATAGACCAGCCTATGCTTTAAGATGGTGTCAAACCAGAGACTGTTGTTGTATTAGTAGGACAATATGCATGTTTATCATATGTTCCTACTGCTATTTTTTGCATTGTCCATAACAATACAATTCTTCTCAATATTTTTGTGTACAATTTCCTAAAATATAAGTGTCTTCTCTTTAAAAGAAAAATCAGAATTTTATGATTTCATCAGCATATAAATTGATAGAAACTGCTAGACTGGTAGAAATAGTTAAAAATGGGTTGTCTTGTTAAAACAAACAAACAGAAGTCACAAAAGTCACCTGGTATTTTCAACTGCTTCTGCAAGCATTTTTCTTTTCCTCAATTCCTGCTATCATAGAATATTCTGCATTCTTATCAGCTTACGCAATCTGTTATCTACAATCTTACTTTAAAGGAACATTAATTGCAATTCTGAATAAGTACAATTGTGAAGAATTTATTATAGTCAGATTCTCTATTATTTTGTCTTATATATTGTCTCTGGAAAAAAATAGTTCTTACCTTTTGAACATCAGTATCATGCTTCTGCTGTAATTTAAGTTTTTCTTCATGAAATTTACCTTCCAATATTTTCATTTTCACATCCAGCTTTTAAAACAAAACAGAACCAATAAACAATTAAGTTAAGGAACAAACTTCACTGATGTCCTTTGCATAACCTTTATATTACTCATGTATGTCTTTGAAAAGGCAATGGGAAGTCACTAACAAATAACAGCTATGAAAAAAAAATTAAAAAATCAATATTCAGTTTCTTGGTCTTTTCATATTTATCTGATAAAGCTGCTATAAAAGTTCTCAATCTAAAATATTTATTTAGAAAATGAATTTGTAAGATGTTTTAGTTGGCAATAAAAACAACTGCTACTGCCCAGAAAAGAGCTATCGTCTTTTATTTAAATAAACACTTAAGAATTAAACTTTTCATATTTTTGTTACTATAACAAGCACGGTAAGCAAGCTTTTATTCTTTAGGCAGGTGTTACATTTACACAAAGAATGTCCTTTAGCACAGATGCATGTATATTTTTGTTTTCTATTATTCAGAGATTTCACATTATAAACACATTTCCTTTTAAAGGTTTCTTATAAAGGGATTAAGATTACTGTTGAATTTGATTGCTAAAATACATTTCTTGCTTCCGCTTGTTTGTTCATTGTAGTGTACTTAACACCCCCAACAACAGCATGTTGCCATTTATTACTCATAGTCTTAGTTTGCATTTTAAAAGTATTTTTAATCTATTGCATACTTGCACTATGCCTTTAAAGCTTGTCTTCAGGACTCTGCAAATATGATAGAGGTTTTGTGCTTCTCAGAGTTCTTAAAAAAGAAAAAAAAAAAAAAGCAACACCTCTACTCAGCTACATGCTATTCTACTTCTACCTTTAATTGTTTCTCCTATCTAGGCAGCGGAGCAGCCAGAAAAGCTTCCCCAGAATGACAGATCCCAGCAACCTCCCTCACTTTACAGAGGACAAACCACAACCATTGGAGCATGAGTACCAACATCTCACCAAAAGTTTTATTTAACCATTATAATGCCAACAGGAAAAAAAAAAAAAAAAAAAAAAAAAAGCTTTCAGGATGTTCCAAGAGCCCATGATGCTGAGGCCCACCTGGCCAGCTAAGGGGCACCAGGCTCAGGTCACCACGCAGATCTCCCATGCTCAGTTTTGGTTAGCTCAGCTAAGAACCTCACTTCCAATCTTCCCAGCTCACAAACTCTGAAGGAACCAACAAGCATTATTCATTGTGCCCTTATTTTTAATCCTTTGACTTACCCAAAGCAGATTTTCCAGCAAGAGTCTTTATCTAACACATAGAAGCAAGAAATACACCACAGATGATGAATAGCTATTATATGATTACTTTGTTGTATGCATCTGTTCACTCTGACTTGCAGAAATGCTTTAAAAAACGAGCTACAAAACTTCAAGTCATCATTCAACTAAAAAATGCAAAATGCAGTGCAATAAATACTGCAGGCCTCAACTGCCGAGCACAGAAGAGCAGCACACACTGTCCATTTCCAGACTCCACACACACTGATAGCCAGAGTATGTGCCTGCTTACTACACCACGTAAAGAGGCTTTTTATCTGTCAAGACTGAAGAGGCACACAGTCTTATGCAAATTATCAAAAAATAAAAGTTGGATTGACAATTAATCCAAAGAAAAGGCAAAGCGTGCTTAGCTTTCAGACATCTTATCATCAAAAAATAAGCATCACAGTAAAAATGCATGTTCTATTCATAAAATATATGCATATGTATATATGAAAAATATATGCATATATCCCTTCAACACAGTGACAATATAGAAGAAAATCTCACTACCAGGTGATAAACAAGCATTGATTTAAAAAAAAAAAAAAGAGCACAGCAATCCACTTCCAGACAGACAGTTTGTGAACATACCATAAATAAATATGAAGGACTTGTAAAAACACAAATACTGGAAACTAAACATGACAGAACCTCCAATCTAGCTGAATTACATTAAAAGATTACAAATTACTGACATATGGCTATCACACTCATACACCTATTAAGTACACACACACATTACATTTAAAACTCATTAACGAAGTGAAAACATCTCCGCTGACGTAAATTAATCGTCGGCATTTTGCATCAGTTGAGCTCTGACCCATGCCTTTATTCTTTTATATGTTGAAGGAGCATAAAAATGAGACAAAATAAAAGTCATCTTGTATTAAATATGGACGTATATTTTAAAGTGATGGTGACTGCTCTCAGCAACTTGGCTGTCTTTCCACAGGTTAACGGCAATACTTGAAGTTGGCTCGTGTTTCTAGTCATTAATCTTCCACTTAACAACTTTCTTTCACTTGCATTAGTTCTTATCAATTTTACTTCATTTTCTAGTCCTTGCACTAATTACGGGAGGATGAACCTCCCCCTTAAAAGCGCACAGATTTTGGGACTACTTTCCAAAAAAGGATTGACAGCTTTGTCTCAGGAGAGCTACTGACAATCAAACAAAATGAATTGGAAAAACGTGTCCAAGATACAGAAGTCAACGCTTAACAAAGGCAAGAATGCAGTAACAAAATGAACTACTTGTTCTTTAATAAAAAAAATAAAAATAAATAAATCCAAAAGACCAGCAACTCATCAGTTCAGAGCTCAAAAAAAACCACCACCACCACCACCACCAAAAAAAAAACAACAAAAAAACCTTCAAAAGCACTCCTATAAACTTACAATGAAATTCTGAAGTTTCAGTACTCCAAACATTTTTCAGTCCTGTGTCGTCCACAACTTATATGGTATGTCCTGAACTGACCAAATTACATAAATATTAGGGAGACTGATTTTAAAAATCTTTGAAAAATCAGTGACTTATGTGCACATCAAGCTTTCAGCTTAAGTTGAAACCTGTTTTTGTAATGAGTATCCGATAAATAAAATAAAATAAAAATAAAATAATCTCCAGGAACAACACTTCCAAGTACAATACTTCCAAGACACACACCTTCAACATTTTTCATTGTAATCTCTGGAAATGTCAGTGTGAGTATTTACTGTAAAGATACGGATATATTGGTTTTAAAACCCTACATCTGTAATTTCTTCTATGGAAAATTTCCAGAAGAGCCAGAAAGCAAACTTTTTGGCCAACCCTTTGGAAGTTGGCCTTCCACAAATTCATCGCATATGTAAATTAAAAAAACAAATCACATGATGCAAACACATTTTAAAAAGGGATCTCATTACAACTGGGCTTGAAGCAAATGGGCTCACTTCACAATTGGGTGAAACTTCTCCCCTGCCACTTCAAAGTTTTACTCTTCGATTAAATACTAATGTAAATAAAGGAGTATCTTTAAAATTATAAGCATACTTAATTGAATCAATTGCATATCTGTAGTTACCCAAATGCCAAACCTCATTTGCTAAGTTGGTCTCAATTTCCTGTGGAATAGCACGTTATAACTTTTACATGTTCCTCTTTTATAAACTGCCCTTTGCACTTCAGTGTTTTACTTTATTAAACATATATTGAGAACCAAACTGACTGACCGCAGTAACAAACTAACACCTTCACAAGTGTTAGACAAAACAGATAAAGACAGCTTAGAAAATCTGTCATTCACTTTGGTAGAAGCGACTAATTGCTCTGATGCTCATCAGTTTTAATAGCTTTTGTTACTAGTTCAGAGGCAGCAGAGAACATTAAGTTTACAACATGTTACCATAGTCAAAAAAAAAAAAGTGTAGATATTGTGTAGATAGCTAGCTGTATCAGAGACGTTTCCAACTATGTATGAAATGCAGCCATTGCTGCTGCCTGAACATCATTCCTTTGGATTTCTGTCATTGTTTACTCTCCTTACAAAGAGTATGAGGCAATTAAACCCTAAGGCCATGTAAACATTACTGATGTCAAACATCTGTGCTGTCCCTGTTATTTAAAGCCATGGAGGGTGGTATCAACAGAACTGCTTTTATGTGCCTAGTCACACTTTCTTCCTAATTAACAAAAAACAACAAAAAACACTAAATCTAGCAAACAGTTACCTGAAAATGGATTTTCATCATATCACTGTCTTACTTGTTCATAACGCAGGTTAGTTGCCTTAAAAATTTAAATAACTGTCCAACTAAAACTGATAGAAACTAACCTGCAACAGTCATAAATCTTTGGAAAAATAAAGGTGATATCCCAGCTTGTCATCCGTCGTCAGAAAAGTATTCATCTGGTCACTATTTACAAGAATTTGTAGGAATATTGAAATACCTGATTTAAAAGTCATTCGCTAAGTAAACTAAGTATATTAATTTGAGGCTGTAGTTTGGAGAGAGCTTTGAACCACTGCTCTCTTGTCTCATTATCGGGATCACCCTTAGGCCAGAGGGGCATCATGAAGCTTTAACATCCACCAGAGAGGGGTTTTGGATATTTGACAAAACAGCACTTGTTTGCTTGCCAGATTTCTTCCAAGTCTATGAATATATGGGAGAGGGAGGAGGAGAGGAAAGGGGGAGGAGGATGTAAACAATAAATGAGAACTTCAAAGTAAGAGCTAACAGCGCAGAACAATGACTTGCATATCTTACAGCATACGACAGAACTTATTTGTCTTGGTGTAATGCAGCTGCTTAAAGAAAGCAGTTCACAATGCAAAGCTTTGATATGTTCACGGAAGAGAAAGATTTCTTTAAAAAAAAAAAAACAACAACTGGAAACACAGCTAGAACTTTCTACTGAATCATGTTTACTCGATTTTAATACCCAGGGTTAAAAAAATACACAAATACCTATAATTCATATGGTGTTTTAATCTATATGGGCAGGCCATGGCAACAGACACCACACCTGAAAAACACTCAAGATTATGTGTAAAATCAGAACTTCATACAAAAGCTACTTGAAATAATGCATCTCAGATTCTAATTAATAAGGTGTTTTTTTTTTTTCCACTGTGTTATTTCTCTATCTTGTTTTGTACCCTCAAAAAAATTAAGATTAATTTTTAATGCACCTCAAAGTTGAAATAAAATTAAAAAAATGTTAACATTTGGAGCAATTCAAGGGGCGGAATAACCTGAAAAGTGTC